AGATTGTAGTTTCCTTTTAACAGATTTTTGGGCTTGTTTTCTTATAATTAATTATGTTGTATATGAGTAAAAAGGAAATAACTTTTATCATAAATTGATTTTAAGTTAGGTGGAACCTTTATGATTTCAATTGATTTTGGTCAAGGGTCTTATTTGATTTGCTTAATAGAAAAAAAAAGAGAGAAATGCTTCAAATATTTAATTTTTTAACCTTTCCTTTTTTAAAAAAAAAAAAAATTTAAATACATAATACAAGATTAGTCTTCCTATAATTTAATTTTATTTAAATTGATATTATTAGTATTTTTATACTTTTAAAATAAGTTAAATTGATTTTTTTTGCCAGTATCATGAAATACCGTTTACCGTTTATATTGATGTTAGGTAGCCGTTAACATGATCAGGTAGCTTAATATTTTGTTTAATGAATCTTTGTGCGAGTACAGTATATCTATCATGTGTTGTCACTATTATTAAATATTATTTATCGTTTATATTGATGTCAGATGATCGTTGATATGATCATGTAGCTTAATGTTTCATTTAATAAATCTTTGTATTATTTTAATATATCTATCATGCGTTGCCATTATTGTTAAATACCGTTTACCGTTTATATTGATGTCAGGTGGTCGTTGACACGATCATATAGCTTAATGTATTATTTAATAACGTCTGTATGAATATAACATATTTATCACGTAATTGTTATTCTGGTATTTATTAAAGATTTATTTTTTTAAAACACTAGTTCTTCTACATACACTACGTATATGTTAATTTATTTTTAGAATTTTATATAACAATTCGGTAAAATACTTTTTCAATGTAACAAAAAGGAATTTATGTACATAAATCTTGCATGTCTCAAAAAAATTATTGATTTTTATTTAAAAGTTTTATTTTTTAAAAAACTAACACATTACATATTGCATCGATAGCATAGTATATAATATTAATATCTAAATAATTATGACAATTATAAAACATATAAACCTCTATAAAATTTATGGTACATTATGTTGGTAACAAATATGATATTTTATTGATACTTAAATGCGTAACATTATCACTCATTATAAATAAGTTAGAGATACGAATAACACATCAGATGTAGACCTCCTGATAACCTCATGATTTATATATTATTCAATCAACTCTTTACATGTTCTACAAATTTTAAATAAAATTAATCAAATAATTAAAAATTATATAAAAAATAAATTTGTGTGTTTCTATTATTATGAATTACCATAAGTGCTTAAACACTTGATATAAAGAGCAATTGAGGTATTAAGAGGATTTGTCTATTCTTTTCCAATATGTTCTTATTGTTGTGTCCATTATTTTGATTGGTATCTCATTTTATTGTGCATTTTTTCTGAATGTTTTGATCTTTCATTCCGATTCTGATATTGAAATGATAATGTATAAGATAAAGTTGAATTAATGTAATAGTAGGTAATAATAAAATAAGATCTATTACTTTTAACAAAAGTATTAAATACCTTTTTGAAGACATTGTTTCTTGTTTTCTTTGTGATTTGATTGTTCTTTCTCGATCAAGATTTTAATTTTTTTTGGAGAATTTACTATTGAGAAAGCAACATAAAGTTGACATAAGTAAATACCGACTGAGGTAGATATAAACTAACTTTTTAATGATTGACTTGGTTTACATTATAGTGTAACAAATTATTATTAAAAATTGTTTACGCTTGATCATAAATAGGAACTCATATCATTCGAATTACTACGTACTATCAAATTTTGCTCATTTTTATTATCTTCATTTGAATAATATGCTTCTCCAATTTGGTGATTATGAATCTTGTTCCATTATACATACCAAATAAAATATTTATATTTCTTAGAAGCATAATTGACACACATCTTTTTGTCAGTAAAATATGATTTAGAAGCCCTGATATCTTCAATATGTTTAAGAACTCTGGTGGATGTAATATTGATGGGTCTTTCATGTCTTATAAACTTTTAGATACATCATCAGTGTTTTTATATTTATATATTAATTTAAAAATATTATGTAAAAAAGTTATTTATGACATTAAGTGCATTATTTAATGAAGTTAAAATAGTTATTTTTTATAAATATTTCATATCTCCTGTGTGTTTTTAGAATTGATGATATGTTTCATTAATAATATCTACAATTAAGTTAGTTAATTGAATGAGAAATTTATCTGAAATATCAATCCAACTTTTTTCTTTTTCTCAATCTCTTGTTATTGTAGGATTTTTTATTGCCTAGTTTGATAAACCACTTATTAAAGTATTATTTTTTTAGTTATCTCAGTAGAATTTCATTTATTTTTCTTGATTCTGATACTTTTTATCTACACTTCTATTTTTTAGGAGAATGGGTAAGATTTATTTGAAATTGTCTTCAAGTAAGACAATTTTTCTTCAAAATAGTTTGTATGAAACATCTTTGCTCCTTCATCGTAAAATATCTTTTTGTATTGTATTGTATGTACAGTCTCAAAAGTGTTGCAATGACCTACTGAGACTTCATCTCAAATAATTAGTGAGTAGTGATAGATGAGTTTTGATAATTGTGTTTCTTGTTTAATTTCATATCTACCGTTTTTAAACTGTTCATAAGAATCTCATGTCTATCATGCATTATTATTATGTATTGAAGAAAAAGGATAAAAATATATACAATAAATTCGCTTGAAATAAAAGTTAGAGGCAAAATGATCATTACACAAAAATAATTAATAAATATAAAATTAATAGCGAGTTCTCCAAATTGATCATGTGAAGGGTGATTGAATGTATTTTATATGAATATTATTTTATTAGTAAAGAAATTAAATTAAAGTTAATGCATTGATTATTTAAAAAACAAAAACTCAAATAAGTAAATTGGATACAATTGAAATGGCAAATATAAAAGGGGAAAATTTTGAAAAGTAAAACCTAAAACACAAGCAAAGGTTTTCTCCCTGTTCTTTATGCATCTAATTAGATCTTGATTTCTTCCTAGCTGTGATATATATATATATACATGTTACACATCATGTTTTATTCTATCTTCACTAAGTTTCTTGCTAGTTGAAAACAGGAAGAACTATCGACCATGTTTGGTTCTCTTTGATAATTTATATAATGTGATTTTTTTTTTTTAATCCAAATTAACAACTTGTTTGTTTCCTCGATATAACGATATGACTAAACTTTTAATGTAACAAGTCGTATTCACGATAACAACTTTTCATTCTATAGTTGATTAAACTACGTTTTTATTAATGACAATCGCTTTTTTTTTTTTGAATTAAACTTAAAATAAGATGAAACTGAGAATGACAAAAAAAAATTCGTGACTGTCCCAAACCATCCGGTTAGTTGAAAACTGCTGTGGGTTTTAAACGAGTTCGAACTAAACCAAATTGGATTGAATCAAATTTTACCTATATGGCGGAATCCGACTCGACAATGTAAATATATTTATATTATATTTTGTAAAATTAAATATATCTATTTTATGAATGAATTAAAAGGCCAAGCCATTTATTTAGGAGGAGGGCCTAAAAATTGGGTAGCCCATAACAAATTAAAGAAATCCAATACATGATTTATATTTACGTCTCCTTGAAACTTTATTCTTCATCAGCTATTTCCCGTTGATCTGTTCGCTCACCCACTTAGATCTTCTCTCCTCAAGGCCCTCACTTTCCTTAATCTCTCATTCAATCCTTTCTCAGCCGCATCGTATTGATACAATACCTGATGGGGGCACGGGATGAGTTTAAACTGAAACCTGGATGGTCTGAGTAAAATACCTTTTTCGTTAAATAACCCCAAAATTTTTGTTCCTCATAACCAGGTCGGGTTTGAGTTTGGTAATCCGACTCATTGTCATTCCTAGATGGAGCTGAGACATATTGGTTAAGCCCACCTATCAAACTTAAGCATGCCCATTCGACCAAACCCACCTTCGCTCAGCAATCAACATGTAGAGGCAGAGGAAGAAGAGAGAAGCCACCATTGAAGAGAATAAAGCAGCGGTTCCAATGGCAGAGCCACGAAAATTAAGAGGTCACAAAGCTACAGCCACGTGCTGTATTGCCTCGCGTGACCGCCCTGGCCTTGTTGCCACCTCCGGCGAGGTATTCCTCTATCCATCTTGTATCTCTTTGATTGGTTAGAAATAAAAGAAAGAACGAGAAAGGAAACTTGGCCTATGAGAGAGCTTGGAATTTATGGGCCGAGTTTTCTGTGACTCATGCGTAATTGAAGTTGCAAAGTTACTCGAGTTTATGATTTCTCTTTATCTAACTAAATAATTGTTTACTGAATTGTCTTATGCTTTTTTTTCTTTTGGCTTTGTTTTGATGAAAATAGGATGGTTGCATTTGCTGGTTTGATATGCGATGCAAAGATGTGCAATTTATCATGGATGTTAGCAATGATCCTATTTCATCGTTGTCTTTCAAGTCAGGTGAAATATTGTGCTAAATGATATCAATATCTCCATTGTTATTTTTAGGTATATTACTCGGTATGATACTGGTACCTAGTGAACCTTGATTGCACAGAAGAAGAATAAGCAATTTTAATTGTTCAGTAAAGTTGGGTGGTAAAAGTTTTCCAAAGTGCAAATCTCTAGCAAAGAGGCCCAAATTTTCATTTAGATTCTGTCGTCTCTCATCACATTCAAGGAGTCTGCATGTGCCTTCATAGACCAGGAGGGTAGGAATTCAAGTGAAGGTCAACAAGACTGAGAGATACACTCCTTCATGGGATGGACTTGATAAGCTTGGTCAATAAGGGTGAAGTTTTTTGGAATCCAAAATGCAGGACTTGCAGCTCTAGGACCATCTTGAGAAAAATTTACAAGTCTTTTAATAGAAACTTACTCTTCCGTCAGGAGAGGGCTAAATTTTATTACTTAAATCCTAGCACTAATAAACTTGAGAAGTGTTCAACTAAAATTTAGAAAGTTGTCTCACATTGTGTGAAATAAAGGCTTCAAAATATTATTGTTTGCTGGATTTTAGAATCATTGCCCCAAAAAAGCATGTGAAGCTTGGTAGATAGAAGTTGTTGAATGGAGTTAATGTTTTGCTTGTCTGGTGCTGAGTTGTGCCTCAAATTCTGAGAGAGTACCGTTCTCAAGAGGTCCTAGCATTGGGATACATTATCTTTGAGCGTGGGTTAATTTTTATCATGGGGATCTTCTTGTAATTTTGAGTTTTTCTTTCCTCTATATAAAGGAGTAGCCCTAGTTGTAAGAGACTGTTCTTCTATAGTGAAAAATTTCATAAAGGGCTTTGCAGAGCAGGCACAAAAATGATGTTAAACTCATTGTGATCTTTATCTCTCTCTTTTTACTTCAATCTGCATGTTCTGTGTGAATAATATCTCTAGATTTAGTCACTGGATAACTTTCCTTGATTGCACGACTTCAAATAGATTTTTACTTTTCTTAACAAAGGAAATGCAAAAGAATAGAGTTGACGTTGTCTTCCACTTTTAGCATTATTGAATGTGAAAAGTTGCTTATCACTAGAAAAATGTGAGCAGTTGCTTATCATTAGAAATATGTGAAAAGTTGCTTATCACTAGAAATATGTGAAAAGTTGCTAATGTAAACATCCAAGTCAACATTGGTTTAAGACCTACAGTTTATGAGCTACCCACACAAATTGATCTTTTTGTGCACTGCAAGTGAAACACATTGGTAATAAGTGTGCACCATGGGTGAAATGCATTGGTAATGCTTGTTACAGTTGCATCTTAGATAGCTGACCTTTGTACTTGAAGTGAATGTATGCTAATAAATGTATTTTTGGGACTAAAAAATATTTTTATATATTGTTTTTGAGTTTCAAATGATATGGGAAACATATACTCTCTGAATATGATATTTATGTATGTCTTTAAAAATTTATTAGATTTTGAAAAGATAAGTAAGAAGTTGATGCATTTCTGCGACTGAGTGTTGCATGATGCAGGAAATGAAGATATTATTTATGTTTCATCAGAAAAGGAAATAAAGTGTTTCGATTTGCATAAGGTAATCCCTTCTCTATCACATTCTTATTTTGGATTATTTTGCAATTTTTCAGCATGTCTTTTTATGAAATAAACATGCATGAATAATATTTTTCAACCTTTTCTAAATCTATATCCCACTGCCTTCCACATTCTATCCATCTTTTTTGTCTTGCAAAGCTGCTTTTTTCTTTTCCTCCCAGTTATGTGCTTTAGTGTAATATTTAATGTAACCCTAGAATTGGGACTTTTTTTCTCTTACAACTTTAGTTTGGTGTGTTGTTTACATGTATACGCATGTGCATATGTACATTAATGTTTTTAGATGAACTTGTGTTTATGTGTATCTTTATATTTAGTGCAATTACTTATAGGTTGCTTTTCTTTTGTAGCTGGATGGTGCTTCTTGGAAGCCACTGGGAAGTTATAACTATAACAAAGATGAGATTAATCAGGTAAACATTGTTTTATAAAATGAAAAATCTTAAATTGTTTAAGCGTAAAGATTTATTTGTTTTGGAATTTTTGCTTCTCTAACATTTTGGCACATTATTAATGTTCCTCTAGTGAGAGAGAGAACAATAGCAAGCCATACAAGACAGATGGTCAATGCCTAATATTTAATGGGGGACCTCAGAAGATACAGTGAGCCTTAGTCCAAAGTGATGGAGCTAAAAATTGTTCCATAACTGGGGAGATTGAAACCCATCTTAAAGACTTCATTCCTTTCCTATGTTACACCAACAAAACCAGCAAACTTAGCATACTCCATCACATTTTTGTTGATTGTTCCTATTATGCCCATGCGAAGAAGAGGTAATGAGAACTTTGGCAAAAATATCTTGCCCCAAAAGTCTTAAAGACCCTGTCCACAGCCTTTGGCTTGCAAAGAATTGTAGGATCTTAGTGACAAGATCACCCCTTTCCAAGAGCTGTGGGAAACAACTACTCCTTTGGCTACTTTCTGCATTAAGGCCCATGGACATTGTTCTTAGCATCATTGACATGCATCGAAATTGGGAAGTTTTTATGTTGAGGAGCTAGTACTTTTGTTTTGCTTTACTGTTTCTAATACACATTCTCTTTATCTTAAAAAATGTTTGCTTCACTGTTTCATTACTATCTTGTGGAGGATGTCTCATTCTCCTTATTTGTACTCTTTTTCACTTTCTCTCTTAATAATATTTCTTCTTTTATCAGAAAAAAATCTCAAATGATGTCTAATTCTGTATATGCAGATTGCTTGTAATTCAAGGTCATCTTTTCTTGCTTCTGCAGATGATACAGGTGATGTTAAGGTATTGTATGTTTTTTTCACTGGTTTACATTCCATGCTGTTATATGTTTCTCTTTTTACCTTTATTTTTCTTGGAAGTAAAAATTAGGCTATCTGATGAGAACCAATAGTACAATATAGAGAAATAGAGGAAAGTATGGTAAAGAGAATAGTATAATATATAGATAGAGGGAAAAAAGAATAAAAATGAAGACTTAGAGAGAGAAAAAAAGAATATTGAGAAGGCATGAAGAATTAAAGATAGAGAAAAGTATTAGGTAGACACGTGAACTAATTTCACTAGAACATTATCAACCCAAGCTTAAGATAAGTTGTTGGTTAGAAACTATAGGTTTTCATTTAAAAAGGAAAATAACTAATAGGAAGACATCCAAACATACCTTAATACTGGATTACGTATCGATCTTCTTGTCACAGATCGTGGAAGCTAGATTAAGCGGAAAAAGTTTTTGATGTGTTTTCTTTATTCGAGTAGAACTCCTAGAACTCCTTGACCGCTTCCCAAATTTCATGTGTCGTCTTGTACAAAAAACAAAATTTCACTGATATCATTTATCATGGATTAATCAACTACGACATGATCAGATTATTTTCAGCCTTTCAAGTTTAGAATTTTGGATCTTTGGCGCTCGGTGATGACTTCTCCGATGAGACCGTTAAATGTAGTTGCTTCCATTTTACTTGTAGCTGGTGATAGGAATTTGAGTAGTTTTTGATTTGAATGGTTTGCGAAAAATAATTCCATCAGAACGAGATGTGGCTTAGAGGTCACTGGTTTTTTGTTGTGGTCATCTTGTATTTGGTCATCAACAAGAGAAAGACAAATTTTTTTTTTAGGTTTAGGGATCTTGTTTTGATACTATGAAAATTGAATTAATATTTAATTTATAACATCTTATAGATATAGGAGAAAGTTATGGAGAGTTTTAGTAGGAACTAAATACAAATTAATCCCATAAGAGGAAAAGGTCTCCTAATTATGAAAGTCGACTATGATTCTTCTTTATAGTTATTTTAAAAAAATTTCTTCTTTATAGGGAGATTTCCCTAAAGATACTAGTTTGGATAGGAATTGAACTTCTATAAAAAGTCGGATTTCTACAAAAATAAAGAGAGATAATATACAATAGAAGTCCTAAAAACAATTCTTAATTCTCATGTATAATCTATTCTTGAAGCCTTTTTATTCACAAATTAAAATCAATAAGGAAAATTATAAACTATATTTTGGGCTTGGAGGGGCATTAGTGGTAGTAGGAAACAACTGGAGATTGTCCCGTTAACTATATTTTGGGTGGTATGAAAGGAGAGGAATAAGAGGGCTCTTGATGGGGTTGAGAATGCTGATAGTTTTGATATCTTTAAGAATAGATAGTTCTAGACCCTTAGTCTTTTGTTACGGGGTCATCCTCTTTGTTCTATGAAGATATGGCGAACTTTTGTTGATTTTGATTGATTTGTAAATTTTTGTACATGAGCGGTACTTCCTTAGTGCATATAACAATATACTATTCACTCTTTTTATTTCAAGAAAAAGAAAAGAAAATGATAAACTAATAAAATAGGAAATTAGAAGTTTCTAATTTCTAACAATACTTTAAATCTATCTAAATGAACTAAATAAACTAAAATAATAAGAATAAGAATCAGAATAATAATTACATGGATTTCTCTTAATGCTGAGCCTGCTCCAGGTTGGATCTTATTCTGCGTCATATTCATTTTGTATAAATTCCTTTTTTTTTTTTTGCAAATAATTTTGTAAGCCATTTGAAATACAATGTGAATGAGCAAGAAGATAGAAGTTGAGAAATGATGTAGCACGTTATCTGACAGCAACAATGACATGTTCCTTCTGTTGATTAGGAATTGTCATCTGTAGTCGCAGTTTTTTTTTTTGGGTATCCAATATTTGTTGCAACTAGAACTCTTTCTTTAAATATCTAACCTCTTGAAAACTGTTTCTTTAAGTATCTAACATCTAATGATGTTTATGACAGATCATTGACATTCACCAGCACTGCATCTACAAGACACTAAGAGCTGGCCATGCAAGTGTATCCACAAATCCATATTTAGGAATTTATTTCTCATTTACCTTCATCACGATCCATGCATTCTTCAATCTCTTGCAAAAGGAAAAAGAAATTGTTTCGATCCCCAGGATTGAGGGGGCAACTAATCTCAAATATTTTAGGCTAACCAGCTTTGTGGTGGTGTATCTACAAGCTTACACAAGAGTGCTTGCTAAAAAGGTTCAGCAACATTGTGGGTCTTGTGGTGGGTGAGGCACAATAGGCTTTTGTTGGGGCTGCAGGAAGGAAGACAGATTCTTAACGTCTCTTGGTCACTAATGAAATGGTCATCTCTATCTTTAGGAATGGCGAGCAAGGTGTTCTATGCAAACTTGATATTGAGAAAGCTTATGACCATCTTTCGTGGTCCTTCCTCTATCTGCTTAAGTGGATGGGATTCGATGACGTATGGTGTTAGTAGACCATAGTGTCTCTTTTCATTAATTTTCTGTCCTTAATAATGGTGGGCCATCGGATGTTTTCAAGCCTTCCAAGAGTCTAAGGCAGAGGGAGCTTGTTATTTTTTATCTTAGTCATGGAAACTTTTGACTTTGTAATTCTAAGAGCGAGAGAGACCGGCCTGTTTGAGGGGCTTTGTATGAGGATCGGTACTAACAAGACCCAAATCATCATCCTTGATTTAAAACGCACTCTCTTATTAGGTTGTAGAAATTTTTTTTCCCTAGAGTACCTTGGCCTCTCTCTTGGCATCGAAGTAAAGGAGAAGGCCACTTGGGATCCCCTTTTTCTAGAAATGGAAGTGGTTGTGTGAGTAAAAATGGATCTATCTCTCTGAGAGTGGAAGCCTCACTCTAATTAAAGTGCATTCTCCAATCTTTTGGATCTACTGTATGTTCCTTTTCTCTATTCACGTGAAATTAGCAAAGAGTATTGAATCTATTGCAGGTTTTTGTTGGGTGATTCCAGAAGCAAAGAAAATATCGTTTGGTGGCTCAAATGCTAAAAGTTGACTTCCATAAATTGAATCACAGACTGCCAGTAACTTGACTCTGAGCTTTTGAAGGCTGGTGGTTTAGATCCAAAAAAAAGTTGTTAGATTAGTGGTACTTGGACACAAGGCGTTACACCTCTTCATTCCTCGTCCACTAGGGATAATTGGCTTAGGATCCTGCTTATTTTGTTTAAGGGTCATCCTGTTCTGGATGAAGTGAGTTTTGCAGATCTGTTTGATCTCTTCACTCTTAGTAGAGCTCTTCTGTATGTGTGTGGCACTCCTCTGGTGGCTTGTTATAATTACTTTTTGCTCTCTTAAAAGAAAAAAGAAAATTTTGCCAATTGTATGCTAACTATTATGACATTTTTTTCTGCCATTCCTCACCTCCACCCCCCCTGACACTCCAACCCCACAACTTTTTGGACCCAAACTATCAGCAGTCAAAAATTTAAACTCAAGTTATTAGTAGTGTGTAAGATGAATTCTTATACAGTGCTCAATATCTCCACATTGAAAAGGTATATGATCATTGACTTTCAAATAAAAACTTAAATCATACACTACCAATAACTTGAGTTTGAGCTTTTGACTACTGGCAGTTTGGGTCCAAGGAGTTGTTGGGTTACTGGTAAGCATTGTACTTGTATTGACTTAGGACCCTGCTTATTTTGTTCAAGGATCATCTAATTCTGGATGAGATGAATGTTGCAAATCTATTTTATCTCTTCACTCTGAGTAAGAGCTCTTTATACTTGTGTGGTACTCCTGTGACGGCTTGTTATAATTATCTTTTTCTCTCTTAAAGAAAAAAAAAATTTGTATGCTAACTAATATGACATTTTTTCTGGCATCCCTAATTCTCTGATTTCAGAAAGCCTGTTACTAGAACAAACTGTGAGTCAGTCTCCCTTTTATTTTTTTTTACTGGTTACCTCATTTAAGATTTTTCCCTGTTCTTTCACCTCGTCATTGCAAGCTAGAGATGCTATCATTCTTGGTGACCTTTACTGTACATTCTAGATCTGTAGCAGTGTTCAGTTCATCCCTTGGAGACCATGGGAAGGTACTTTTAAGTTATTATCTAATATATTTTTCCTAATGTTTGGACACAATAGAGAGACATGAAATTTTATTTACATCTAAAAGTTCCAATTGCTACCATAAAGTTTCTTCTATCCAGCTGAAACTATAGGGAATTTTGATTGTGTATTCGAATGGACTTGTTAAATGAAGACATGCAACAATTCTGTCAGAATTACATCTAGCTTGTTTCACTCTATTATGTGAATTGTGTTTTGTGAAATTTCTTTTTCTGAATGTTATTTATGTTGTGTGCTTTGGCAGTTATTACTGGAGGCTTTGATTCAAAATTGATTATGTGGGACTTTTCCAAAGGTCACCCTTGCAAAATTTTGGACTTTGGTAAGCATTTTTTGTTTGTCTAAGTTCCATGATCATGTGTTTCCCCTGACTCTAATTTGGTTTGAGTAGTTTGGGAGTGGGAATTGCAGACAAAAGCTATATCTTATTATTACTGAACTCTTAGAATTGTGAGTTTGCATTTTATCATATCGTGTTTTCACATTGTGATGCCCATGGAAATCAAAGTTTTACATTATGAGTGACATTTATGCATATAACATAAACAAAATGCTTCTTAGTTTCCATCTAACTTTTATAGACCATTTGGTTCAACCTTATTCTCATTACACTTTACTCATAGATATTAATTACTTGATATGTAGAATATAAAATTTTCGTATTTGGTAATGATTGAATCAATTTTCTTTAATGATGAATTTCTATTTTTACTTGTGAAGATACTGATTACAAATCTACCTAATTTGAATTGAACATGAAATCAAAACATTATTCCCATTTAACTTCTTATTTCATTTATATTATATTTATGTTCCTTTCCAAAGAGCTCACATTTGAACCAAATGTAGCGTACTAGTCTTATGGTTTGACAAAATCATTAGAGTTTGGCTTGTTTTTGGAGTGTTATATTTGGCTGAAATAGCAATTAGGTACCAGTACAAGAGTAGAAATGAGCGAGTTCAGAGATTATAATTCAAACATTAGCTTAGTGATCTAAGTTTTTTAGGAATATAGCACATTAATAAGGTAGTTTCCCCCTATTAAATCCTAATGACAATTTATGTATTTTATAGAACCTGATCTGTTGAAGTGAGTTAATTTTTTATTTTTAACTTTTCTTTATATGATTTCATGCTAGCTCCTTTTAGCTTAAAAATTAGTTTGAAGGTTCTCTCCTTTTAATTGAAACATTAACTTTTTTCTCCAATTATATCATCTTTTCTTCTGTCTTGAAATCTCTCTCCACAAACTGGTTCTCATTAGCGTTCTTACTAACAGTAACCCTTTGCTTGGATTGAGAAGAGAGAGGATCAAGAAAATGAAAAGTAAGGATATTCATTTTCCTTCTATTTGTGTAGATAAAAGAAAATTATCGTTTAAGTGACATCCGATAGGATTTGAGAAATACATAGAATATCAACATGGTCTCTCTGAAAGAATGACAAGCACATATCTAGAAGTGGCCCAAACTTTTTTTTAAGAAAAAAAAGTAATTAAATTAAGGGATGGTGAGCGTCCCTCACTTTTCCTTTAACAATTTATTTTTTTATTGGCTAAATCCAGAGAAAAGAAGAGAAGGAAAACAATTAACAAATTTTAATATCATCTCCTAATTCATCCTTGATGGTCTAGCTTACATTAATAAGGTTACAACAGACATTTTCATAATTTTTTTTTTTTTTTTAATTACTTTTTCCTTATACATCTGAACCAAACAAAAATACTATCACAATTTTTTCTGTATCTTTTTTTTTCCTTCTCAATTTTGTTAGTCATTTAAATGAAGAAAACATCTTTCCTTTGCCTTAACCCCATTCTTCTGTTTTTCTTTTTCCCCTTCCATCCTTTCATTTTCTTTTATTTTCTCTCCTTTTATTGGGTTCTATCCCTGTGCCCTAAATCTAGTTATGGGTCCTTGAAGAGTAAAATAAAACGAGGTTGAACCAGATTTTCTCTAGTTTTTTCTTACTTACAGACCTATAATTTTTTGAGATAAAAGAGAGAAATGCTATTGAAATGGACGCCAAGGGGGTGTAAACCATATACAAGTAACAGGATTTACATTTCAGTGAGAATGTTTACAACAGAACCTAAATCCTCAAAAGAGTCAAGATTGTGGCCAAGTACAATAGTACCAAAAAAATGCAGCCACCTATCTTTGATAAAGGCAAAGTGGCGGATTCAGTTCTGTCATTCAGGTATCTATAGAGGGATTTAACTGTAAAAGAGCTTTTTTTTTTCACAATTTCCAGTTTAATCTATCAGTCCTTACAGGCCTATGATGATATCTTAAATAAGGTTTATTAAGAGAGAAACCAAAACTTTTCTTAAGTTCAGTGCGGAAGAAACTTAAAATTGATATTCTGCATATCCTTTAACATAGAATAGAACCCATATGTACATAAGTGCCTCCTTAAGGATAGAGACTACCCCCTTAAGACTAACAACTGCCTGGAAGTATTTGGACATATAACTGCCACAATCTACTACAACAACTGACTAACAGGTTATTTCCTATACAAGGAACTACCCAAAAACTTATAAAAATAAAATATTTTTTTCAACCATCAAGTCTTCCTAATCCATCTAAAGAAAATAAAAAAATCTTACTAAATTTCCCATGAGAGAATCTCTTATAAACTTGGTAAAAGACTCGGTACACTGTGCTACTATAGTCTCTGGTTCACCCTTTTGAGGACTCATAACAGTACTCTCCTTCCTGAAATGGTGCTTGTCCTAGAGTGCAAAACTAGTATAGCGAACCAGCAGATAATCAACTAGTTCCTATGATGCCTCAGCCGAAGACAAGCTTTCCCAATGAATAATAGCTTTGCATTTGCCTCCCTGAGTGCAAAAATCCAGCACAGCTTGAGGAGTAGTAATTAGTACTCCTTGATCGATTACTTGTGAAGCAAGCAGAGGGGATGCTCTTCATGAAATTCCTTGAGACACAAAACAAAGAAAACAGAGTGCAATTTGGAGTGGGCCAGAAGTTCCAGACGATAAGCCACTGAGCCTGCTAACCACAGGAAAAGGCCCGTATAATATGAAATGATCTGTTGGAGTGCCTTGTGCCCAAGCAGGTTCAGTGGTAGGGCAGCAAGCATAGGAGAACCAAAATAACCTGGATTAAAGGGGATATCCCAGTATACAGAATCATAATGAGCCTCATGACATCCTGTGGTTCTTGTATGAGCTCCTGTAAATCATGGAGAACTTGATCATGTGTACCAAAATTCATGGTCAACCACATCCAGAGGGGAAGGACCATCACAAAAATACAACAATTTTGGAGGAGGGCAACGATGGACAACCTCAAAGGGAGTTTTACAGAGAGAAGAATGATAGCCAGTATTTAGTAATGTTATGCAGGCCACCAGTCGACCCAATTCTTTGGTCTATCACTAGTGAAGCACCTCAAATACATTTCCACTATACAGTTCATCACCTTAATCTGTGATTGGATTGGGAACTGAAGAAAATGAGAGCTTCACACCACTTAAACGAAAAAATTATTTCCAAAAGATGCTGGTAAAAATAACATACCAATCATTGACAATTCATTCTGGTAATCCACGCAATTTGAAGGCATTATCAAGGAAAATATGAGCTACATTTGGCAAGTCTGATTTTTTTTAAAATATAAAGCTGTTTCGAGGTTACAGGAGGAGGGAACAGGTTTGTGGGAGCTTAAATTAATGACTACTTTCTTATAATCAATAGAAAGGCTTCAAAGAATTTTGTAACACAAGATCCTCTTCTGACAAATAGTGAGTGATGGAGATGAGGAGGTCAAGAGTGTTTTGGGTTTTTGCAGATTGGATTCAATGGAGGTCATTCTTCATGGTGTGGTAAAATTCAGACTTACAGTGGAGTAGCCAGGTATGCGATTAATCATGAAAGAGTTCAGTCTCTTGCAATGCTTGGTGGCCAGTCAAGGTTTTATTTGACCTTTTTTTAAAAAATAAAAGGTATAAAGTGTATATTAACACAAAGGCACCAAGGAGATGCCACATATGTACAAAAATATTTATAAGGTTTTATTTGGTTTGAGGAGCCTTCATAGTGTGTGCGAGAAGATTGTTGCTTGACTCCAGGGGAGAACTAGGGAGTGAGCATGTTGCCTTGTTGAGCTTCCAGGTTCCTGCATCACCTATTATTGCTAACGGAGGAGATACATTTGATCCATTGATATGATCAAGTACATTAGAACCTTGGATCACTGGTAAAAGAGTGGATTTTTGGATAAAATTAAGTGAAGTCTAGGGTCTTGCTATGTTAGAAGTGTCAAAGCTGGGATGGGAAATTTAAAAGGGGATTTTCAGATAAGTGAATTCTAGGGTCTCACTATGTTAGAGATGCCAAAGCAAGGATGGGAATTTTTCAGATCATAGGAAGATGGTGATGGGCTGGCAGTTTGGAAAGGAGAGAAAGCTGCGGTAGTTACTCATTTGAAAATTGAATTAGGAGAGCTATCATACCATGTAAATTTAAAAATAAATTCAATTTGCAAGTAAAGCCCACACCTTCAGGTAGAACTCTTGGAAAAGGATAAATACAGTATGTGTTGCAAAACTAACAGAATGTAATCTTAGCAAATAGCTTCTTTCTTTTGAATTATAAGTAATTGGCTAACAAGTAGATTGCAAGTTGGTTCACTCTGCAGGAAAGGAAAAAGGTTGCAAGTGCTATCCTCTGATATAGTTTATGTTAATAGTGAACTGTATGCAAAAACATGTTATCCTGATTAATTTATAATTTCATGCAATGAAATGCTAGTTGATTCTTTCAATTTTTACGTGAGCCAAATGGAGTTTTCAGCGCTATACTTAAATTATTTCGCTATTTTTCTGAAGCAAATGGAACTTCAGTATGGAAATTTTTTAATTTACTCCTGATAATTTACTAGGTCTTATTTACCATCTTTTACGGACTGCAGGTTTGCCAGAAATGAATGGTTGTAGTACTGCAGGCCAATGTTTTAATCCTGCTTTTGTCCATGCACTAGCAGTTCCAGATGTCGATATGTCAGATAAATTAGGTAGAATATGTGTTGTAGCTAGGGGTGATGGTGTTGTAGATGTGATTAATATTGAATCAGAACTTACTGATGTTAAGTCCAAAAGTTCAATAAAATCCAGGAAAGGAACTCAATCAGTGTCAAAACACAGAAATTCCTGGTGATTTAGGAACTTCACATCAGAATGGAAGAAAGCGATTGCAATTGGATTACTCATTTGGTGGGCATACTGGAGCTGTCTCTTGTGTGCAATTTTCCATGTTTGGGGAGAGGGGGAAATTCATAATTTCAGG